TCATTAAAAACCTCGCTGGAAAAACCCATTCGGGATAAAAACCAATCTAAGGGATAAAGAGTGCAACGCGTGCTTTAAAACCTAAGACCTTCGTGCTGAAGAGTTTCCTCGATGCCTCGATCAAACACCTGCAATAAGTTAGTCCTAAATACAAATGGAAAAGGGAGAGGGTCATACCTCAGCAATAATATTGTTTGAGTAGTGATACGTTCCAATTGTTCGGCAATTGTTCGCCTTCCATCGTGCCAAGTTTGTAAGATCCCTTTCCAATGACACTGATGACTAGATATTGTCCTTCCCAATTCGGGCCTATTTTCCCTTCATTTGGGTCCCGAATATTGAGGGTGACTTTCCTTAGAACTAAGTCCCCGATTCCAAAGTGGCAAAGATTGGCTATTCTATCGTAAAATCTCTCGATTCTTAGCTTCTGTGCAGCCATCCAAACAATTGCAGTTTCTTGTTTTTCATCCAATAGTTCGAGGCTAGTATTCATAGCCTCATGATTTGATTCATGCGTTTCATGTCGAAATCTGGCGCTAGGTTCCCCGACCTCGACTGGAATTAAGGCCTCAGAGCCATATACTAAGGAGAACGGGGTTTCCTCTGTGCTGGACTTCTATGCCGTTCGATATGCCCAAAGAACTTTGGGTAGAACTTCTCTCCATTTCCCTTAAGCGTCGTTCAACCTTTTCTTTAAGTTTTGAATGATAGTCTTGTTTATCGATTTGGCCTGTCCATTTCCACTTGGTTGATACGGCGTTGATAAGATCCTTTTTATTTTGTGTTCCTCGAGGAACTCTATTACCTTGCTTCCAATGAATTGCTTTCCATTATCGCATACGATTTCAGCAGGTATCCCGAATCGACACACGATGTGGTCCCAGATGAAGTCTATAACTTCTTTTTCTCTGACTTCTCGAAGGCTTATGCTTCCACCCATTTAGAAAAGTAGTCAGTCATAAACAAAATGAATTTACCTTTATCTAGGGCCGTTGGCAGAGGGGCGACGATATCCATTCCCCATTTCATGAACCGCCATGGGGATAGGACTGAATGAAGTTGTACCCCAGGCTGATAGATCATTGGTGCAAACCTTTGACATTTATCACATTTTCGAACAAACTCCTTAGTGTCTTTTTCCATGCTATCCCAGTAGTATCCTGCTCTAATGATTTTGTGAATTAAAGATTCGGCGCCAGGGTGGTTCCCACAAGTGCCTTCATGAACCTCTCGTAAAACATAATCGGTGTCTCCCGACCACAAACATACCGCTAATGTTCCATCGAACGTCCTTCTGCATAATGTTCCATCCTCATCCAATGTAAATTAGGCAGATTTGGTTCATAGGACCCTCGACTTTTTAGGGTCCGATGGGAGCTTTCCATTCTTTAGTTATTTGATATATTTATTCCTCCAATCCTAGGTCAAGCTTGTAGAGTTTATCTCGGCATGACCCTCCTCGACCACAAATCTCGATAGTTGGACGATAGTCCCCGGGATAATATCATCTTACTCGACTGATGATCCCAAATTTGCAAGTGCATCATCCTCGTTGTTTTTTTCTAGAGGTACATGATCCAGAGTCCACTCCTTGAAGCAATGCAAAGTCACTTGTAGCTTGTCCAAATACCTTTGCATTCTATCCTCTCGAACTTCGAAGCTTTTGTTTACTTGGTTTACCACCAATAAAGAGTCGCACTTTGCTTCAATGACTTCTACCCCCAAGCTTTTAGCTAGCTTGAGACTTGCAATCATGGCCTCGTACTCGACCTCATTGTTAGTCAACCTAGAAGTTTTGATAGATTGTCTGATAGTGCTACCTGTGGGTGGCTTCAAAACGATGCCCAACTCGGACCCCTTCACATTAGAAGCACCATCTATGAAAAGGGTCCATACCCCCGATGATGTACCCGACTTTAACAAGAGTTCCTTTTCAACTTTAGATACGAGGGTTGGCGTGAAATCGGCCACGAAGTCCGCTAAAATTTGAGACTTGATGGTCATTCGGGGTTGATGCTCGATATCATACCCACTGAGTTCGACGGCCAATTTTGCCAATTGACCCAAAAGTTCGGGTTTGTGTAAAATATTACAAAGTGTGTAAGTTTGGATGACATTGAAAGTATGGTTTCAATTTCCTAGAAGCACTTATTAGTGCAAGTGCTAATTTCTCTAAGTGTGGATATCTAGTTTCTGCTTCCCCTAAGGTTCGACTTACATAGTAAATGGGAAATTGCGTACCTGGGTCTTCTCGAACTAGGACGCCACTTACCGCGATTTTCGGCAACGCCAAGTATAAGTAGAGTTTCTCATCTGCCTTCGTGGTGTAAAGCAATGGTGGGCTCGATAGATATCGTTTTAATTCCTCTAATTCTTGTTGGCACTCTGGGGTCCAGGTGAAATCATTCTTCTTCTTGAGTAAAGAGAAAAATATGTTGCTTCGATCCAATGACCTTAAGATAAATCGGCCTAAAGTAGCTATCCACCCAGTTAGCCTCTGTACGGCTTTTACGTTGTCCACGACGGTGATGTCTTCGATGGCCTTGATTTTATCGGGGTTGATCTTGATTCCCCGATTTGACACCATGAAGCCTAGGAACTTGCCCGAGCCTACACCAAAAGCACATTTCTCAGGGTTGAGTTTCATGTTGTATTTCCTCAAAATCTCGAACATTTCCTGCAAATGAACCAAATGGTCCTCTCGCGCAGGGACTTAACTATCATGTCATCAATATAAATTTCCGTTGACTTACCTATTTGTTCTTCGAACATTTTATTTACGAGACGTTGATAAGTAGCTCCTGCATTTTTTAATCCGCAGGGCATTACATTATAATAATACGTTCCATATTTGGTGATAAATGAGGTCTTCTCCTGGTCTTCTGAGTTCATCTGAATTTGGTTGTACCCGGAATAGGCATCGAGAAATGTAAGGATCTCGTGGCCAGCCGTGGCATCGATCATGCGATCGATGTTAAGCAGTGAGAAAGAGACTTTAGGGCATGCCTTGTTCAAATCCTTGTAATCTACACACATTTTAAGTTTGTTCCCTTTTTTAGGGACTACTACTACATTGGCTAACCATTCGGGGTGTTTTACCTCCCGAATGGACCCTATTTTAAGAAATTTAGTTGCCTCGTCCTTTATGAATGCATGCTTTACCTCGGACTGGGGCCTTCTTTTTTGTTTCACAGGTTTGTACTGGGGTCGAGGCTTAGCCGATGCGTTGTTATCTTCGGTGGGATCCTTGTCATGTCTAAATGGGACCAAGCAAAACAATCTATGTTATCGATAAGTGATAGGTTACAAGTGATTTGGTCATAAGTACTTTACTTTATATTTTGATGATCTAACAAACTTACCATCCAGAAACAAATAAGGAACCCGTTACACATTTACAGGACATTAAGATCACAAAGTTCTAGGTTAGGATCCAGCATGGGATATAACTCAACTCTTCATAGTGGAAGGAATAGCTGAGGGAACAGGTCCCTACCTGTTCCCGAGGAGACTGTACGAAGTCAACTCTCCAGCTAGAAAGTTGCTGCCTGCACACGCTACTATACAGGAACAGTGCAGCAGTCAACTTTCTGTGGAAGTCTTTTTACCTACCTTACTTACATCATGGTAAGTGATGTCACACATGTATAAATAAAATCAAGGAAGGTAAAACAACTTACTTCATGAGAGAACAAGATAAGGAATCTAATACAATTAAGTTCCCTTGCATTTAGAATAACTAGTCAGATGTCTGGTTCAATTCTCAATGAAATCAGATAAGGAAACAAGAGAGGGACCAGATAGGGATCAGTTTCCCTAGTCGTTGTATAGTCAACTCTACAGCTGTAAAAGTTGTTGCATTATACCGTTTGGCAGCAGTACAGCAACACAGTTGTAGCTTGTTACGGCCAAACTAAAGGGCACTTTATTGCATCATCCTTGATGATATCACACACATATATTATCAACATGAGGCAAGAGATTTCATCTCTCTAACACTTGCAAAATCAAAAGAAAATATTCTCTAAGTGCTAGCCACAACCTCTCTCAAGAACAAAGTTGCTGCAACCTCAAGGACCAGATCCAAAGATTGAAGATATCTTAAGTCCTTAGGTTTGTTGAGTCTTTGTTATTTGTTCTTCATTTGTAACTCCTACTTAGATTAGTTAGAAGCATTATGTAGGAAACCCTTTGTAAATCATAAACCCTTGTATTTGTGTCTTGGCTAGAGTTAGTCAAGTTGCAAAGTCTTTGTAATAGAGTTATTAAAAAGTGGCTTGTAATAGAGTTGTTACAAGTTAGTAAGGGATTAAGAGGTTAATTCCTAGGTTACAATAGGTTGTAATCTAATGTTTGCTCAGTAGTAAAGTTGAAATCCTACAAGGGTAGGTCGTGGTTTTTAATCCCGTGAGCTTAGAGCTTTCCACGTAAAATTCCTCTGTGTTCTTTTACGTACTGTTGCATAATCAGTGGAAACCAATATAGGACTTGGTCTTTATATATTTTGGTGGACTTATATATTCTATCAATTGGTATCAGAGCAGGTTCTTTCTAAAAGGTTAGCACCTAGAAAGGATCTTCATAGTTGCTCCACCAAACTTCGGGGAAGTGCAATCAACATACAGACCACCAAGATTCAATGGCCAATACTATGCTTGGTGGAAAACAAGAATGCATGACTTCATAATGGTTGAGGACTCAGAGCTTTGGGATGTGATTTGTGATGGTCCTTTTGTCCCTATGAAGGCTGTTGGAGAGGGAACAAGGACTGGTCCAAAACAAGAAAAGAAAACAATGGTGCTGACCGAAAAGCTATTGAGAAGAACTTCAAGGCGAAGAAGATTCTTATGTGTAGTAGTGGACCAAACGAGTATAATCGTATCTCGGCATGTGAATCTGGCAAGGAAATCTGGAAAGCTCTTCAAACGACTCACGAGGGAACTACTCAGATAAAGTAGTCCAAAATAGATATGCTTACAACTGAGTATGAACTCTTTATAATGGAAGAGGATGAGTTCATTCAAGTGATGCATACTCGTTTCACCTCTATAATCAATGAGCTTCATTCACTTGGTGAAATCATTCCAACCAACAAGTTGGTCCGGAAAATACTCAGTGTTCTACCAGGTTCCTGGGAGAGTAAGGTTAATGCTATCACTGAAGCCAAAGACCTGCAAAAGCTGACTATTGGCGATCTTATTGGAAATCTCAAAACATATGAGATGAAAAGAAAGAAGGATCTTGAAAGAAGAGAGCCCAATGAGGAGAGGAACCTGGTTCTCAAAGTTGTCCCCACTGACTCAAGTAGTGATGAATCTGAAATGACGTATCTCACTCGAAGATTTCAAAAGATGGTTCATATAAATGGTGGTACCAAAGAAAGGAAGTCACAGTAGGAATTTTAAAGAAAATGATTGTTGTCATAAGTGTGGAAAGCCTGGACACTTTATTAAAGACTGCCCTTTCCATAAGCAGGATCATTACAAAACCAACATTGATAAGGCAGCTAAGAGGAACTTGTTCCCTGATAGGAAATTCAAAAGAAGAGATGTTGTTGACAACATGGTGAAGCAAGCTTTGGCTGACTGGGGAGATTTCTCCAGTGAATCTGAAGGTGAGGATGACCAAGGATATGCATCTACGATGGTTGTTGACAATGAAGATGAGTCAATCATTGCACTTATGGCTAAATCTGATTATGAAGAGGACAACGAGGAAGATGGGGTAAGTTTTCTTGATGTTCAAAGAAATTTAAAAACTTACTCTAAGAAAAAATTGATGTCCTTAGCAAATGTGTTGATTGATGCCTATCATAGCCTCATTAATGAGAAAAATATTCTAATAGAAGAAATTAATGACATAGAACAAGAAAGGGATAATATGGTAGTTTCTATTTTAGATTTGAAGTAACAAGTGGAAGAAGTAACTAGAGAAAATAACTTGTTGAAAAGCCAAACGAAAAAATAGATGGACAACACTAAGGGTAAAGAAGTGGCTAGTAAGGCTCAATTTGAGCTTGAGAGTGAGCTTAAGAATGTTAAAACAAGTCTTGTTGTTGAGCTTGAAAAGAATAGACAATTTCAGGAAGATTTCAAAAGGGTGAAAAATGATCTTGATAAGTCACTTAATTGTACCTGGTCCTATGATGTAATAACATCTATGTACTAGAGTAATGGTGGAAACAGGCAAGGAATCGGGTTCCAAAAGGCTAAAACCTCCTATAATCCCCATAGTAAGTATGTAACTATGGCTGATAATAGGTTGGCACTCACTGTGGTCAAACGGGTCATTACAAGGACTCTTGTAAAACTAAAATTCAGTCTTTGCAGAAACACAAAGTTTTTTTTGAAAAGAGGCGTAGTGATGAGGAACCTGGTTCCTTGAAAAGAAAATATGTGTTGCTTGCATGGGAAAAAGAAGTTTGATCTTCCCGTTCTATTATTATAAGGGACCGAAGTCGCTTGGGTCCCTAAGTCTAATCATTGATTTAGTGTGCAGGCTGAAGTGAGAGGTAGTAGTCAAAAAAATGGTACATGGATAGTGGCTGCTCTAAGCATAAAATTAGAAGAATTAATAATGTCCTCTCACTCTAGGCCTTCCAAGGTGTGAGTGTCTCCTTTGGAAATGACAAGAAGGTTATATTCTTGGTGTTGGCAAAATTGACAAAACGCTCTCCCATGCAATTGAAAATGTGTACTATGTGAATAACTTGAAATGTAGCTTGTTGAGTGTGTCTCAAATCTATGATAAGGAAAAATGAAGTGAAGTTCTTGTTCAAATATTGCATTGTCACCAATCTCAAAACTGGTGAAGTGGTGTTGATAGCCAAAAGTTTCAAGAACATCTATGTTGCAGACCTTGATTCACTTAATGGTGGTGATCTAACATGCCTAAGTGTCATTGATGATGATGCTGAGTTATGGCATAGATGTCTGGGGCATGTGAGTTTTTATTTGCTAAAGAAGTTGGTTATGGAGGGGCTGAAGCAGTCAACACTTCCTGCTACTTAATTAACAAGTGCATGATCAGGTCCCTTCTCGAGAAGTCTCTCTATGAACTACTCAATGGGAGAAAACTCAAGCTGACTTACCCAAGAGCCTTTGGATGCAAAATGTTTTGTTCTCAAGAATGGTGGCAAAGGGTCACATAACAAAGAAGATGAAGATGGAGAATTCACAAATGCTCCTGGTGAAGCTATAGATATTGCAAATAGAAAGACTGATTTGATGTGTCAAGTCAAACAGAGCAATATAGAAGATACAGCAGAATCTCCAAAAGGCACAGAGGGACCTGGTCCCTCGATGATTGGCTATGTTAAGAAGGAAAGGTACAATGCTAAAAAGTATTTTTCGGCAACATCTAACTCAAAGCTATACTGTTACAGGTATGCACATATTGCAGTTTCAGGACAAAACAAGTAAGAGTGACATTGCACTTCTAGAAGTCTTTGCTCAAATTTTCAAAAACCGTCAAGGAACCTGGTTTCTGCGACTCAGGTTAGTAGTTTCTCCAATACTTATATGCCCTTTTAAGATGCTGAAGTGTCATGTCATTAATTTATTCCCGGCCTTTCTCCTGCCTCTCTCCTGATTTTTGAAGTCCAAAATGTTAAACCTCTTCTAAACTGACCCATTACCTCAAAAAACCACTTCTCTATCGTACACCCAACTAAAACTGATTCTTTTCTTTAAAACCAAAATCAACCTTGTCTAAAAAAGAATCCTTCTCTCCAAATATTCCAGAAGTGAACTCAACTCTATCACTTTCAAAAATCCTAACTCCATCTGAATCAAAACCCCAAGAAGTCTTTGGTAGATTTTGATGGAAGGGAACAAGGTAGATCTAATATGCTAAAGCATGAGGCTGAAATTGTTGCTGGATTTGTGGAATTCTTGAAAGATGGAGAAATTGGTAAATGTCAGAACTGAATGAGGGATCTGATCCCTCAAGTCCTTCTTAGAAAGTCAATTTTTATGATGATCTTTTTCTTTTTGAGTTCTGTGTTTAAACTAACTTCCGATCCAGTAAAAAGGATTGATGAAAAGTAGGTTGATTGATGATGAAGTGGTGTGACATGCTGATGTGATTGTGGAAGAGAGAATGAAATAAAAAAATCTTTACTTGTGAGAAAGAATTCAAAAAAATGGAGAAAAGAAAGTTGGCTGAGAAAGATGCAGCAGATGATAAGGGTAAACAGATTGAGAAGAAGAAGAAGAAGAAGAAGAAGAAGGAGGAGAAGAAGAAGAAGAAGAAGAAGAAGAAGAAGAAGAAGAAGAAGAAGGAGAAGAAGAAGAAGAAGAGGGAGACATGGTTGCTCAGAGATAGAAAGGGTAGTGTAAGTGAGGAACTTGGTTCCTTACATAAGCAAAAGGTTGAGTCATCAGGAACTTGGTTCTTGTTATTGTTTATGTTGTGTTGCCCAAGTGGCATGAGTTAATGTTGCTGAACTTCTTTTTGGTTGTGCTTCTTTTGTTATTCTTTTCAATGATGCAAAAAGGGGGAGTATGTCAACATGGGTAAGGAACAGAATTGAATTGGTATGTTGTGTTGTGCATGAAAAATAGCTCTGCTTCATGGGGGAAAGTTGCCGATAATATGTTGATTATAGATCTGATCCGCAGGGAAACATGTGAGGAATCTGGTTCTCAAGAGGAATATTAATTTTGGGTTTGTCATCATCAAAAAGGGGCAAATTGCTCTAAGTTATGCTATGTCATGTTTTGATGATGACAAACGTTCTCAAGGAACTGGGTACGGACCAGATGTGATCATTACATGTAAGGAATCTGATTCTCAGGGGAATATTAATTCTAGGTTTGTAATGATCAAAAAGAAAAGGGGGAAATTGATAAGTTATGGTATTTTCTGTTTTGATGATTTGCCAAACAGTCTCGAGGAACCAGTTGTGATCAGTTCCTAAGGTTTGGTTCTCAGGGGGATATGGCTGATTCGTAGGGGGAACAATATAGAGATCTGGTTCTTATGGGGAATATCATTTCTAAGTTTATCATTATCAAAGATGGGGAAATTGATAGGTTACAAGTACTTTGGTCATAAGTACTTTACTTAATGTTTTGATGATCTAACAAACTTACCATCTAGAACCAGATAAGGAACCCGTTACATATTTACAAGACCTTAAGATCACCAAGTTCCGGGTTAGGATCCAGCATGGGATATAACTCAACTCTTCAGAGTGGAAGGAACAGCTGAGGGAACAGGTCCCTACCTGTTCCCGAGGAGAATGTACGAAGTCAACTCTCCAGCTGAAAAGTTGCTGCCTACACGCGCTACTGTACAGGAATAGTGCAGTAGTCAACTTTTTGTGAAAGGCTTTTTACCTACCTTGCTTACATCATTGTAAGTGATGTCACACATGTATAAATACAATCAAGGAAGGTAAAACAACTTACTTCATGAGATAACAAGATAAGGAATCTGATACAATTAAGTTCCCTTGCATTTAGAATAACTAGTCAGATGTCTAGTTCAATTCTTAATGAAATCAGATACGGAAATAGCAGAGGGACCAGATAGGGATCAGTTTCCCCGATCGTTGTACAGTCAACTCTACAGCTATAAAAGCTGTTGCACTATACCGTCTGGCAGGCTGTTGCACTGTACCATCTGGCAGCAATATAGCAGCACAGCTGTAGCTTGCTAAGGCCAAACTAAAGGGCACTTTATTGCATCATCCTTGATGACATCACACACACATATTATCAACATGAGGCAAGGGATTTCATCTCTCTAACACTTGCAAAATCAAAAAAAAATATTCTCTAAGGTGCTAGCCACAACCTCTCTCAAGGAGAAAGTTGTTGCAACCTCAAGGACCAGATCCAAAGATTGAAGATATCTTAAGTCCTTAGGTTTTTTGAGTCTTTGTTATTTGTTCTTCATTTTTAACTCCTACTTAGCTTAGTTAGAAGCATTGTGTAGGAAACCCTTTGTAAATCATAAACCCTTGTGCTTGTGTCTTGGCTAGAGTTAGTCGAGTTGTAAAGTCTTTGTAATAGAGTTATAACAAAGTGGCTTGTAATAGAGTTGTTACAAGTTAGTGAGAGATTAAGAGGTTAATTCCTAGGTTACAATAGGTTGTAATCTAAAGTTTGCTCAGTGGTGAAGTTGAAATCCTACAAGGGCAAGTCATGGTTTTTAATCCCGTGAGGTGGGAGCTTTACACATAAAATTACTCTGTGTTCATTTACTTACGGTTGCATAATCTGTGGAAACCAATATAGGACTTGGTCTCTATATAGTTTGGTGGACTCATATATTCTATCAATAAGAAATTGAATAAGTGTTTTCCTGAGTTCGGGGGCTAACCCTGTTCCTAAGTATACCTTTCGCTCGGGTAGATGCTCGATCAATATAACATGTTCCAGCTCCTCGACAGTTGATTTGGTAGCGTCGGAGTCTTCGGGAACAATAAAGGTTCGAGGAGTCAGAAAATCCTCCTCTTCTTCTTCTATCTCCTGCTTTCCCGATTCGGTCGAGGCTGGTGACTGTGATTGCTATTTGGTTTCATGTCTACCTTTGATGTTTGAACTTTTCAGAGTTGATAATGTTGATATTGGTATAACCTCGTCAACTGCAAATATCTCCTTTGCCGCATACTGCTCCCCGAACATTGTTTTCACTCTGTCCGATGTTGGGAATTTTATCATTTGATGGAGAGTTGAAGGAACCACCCTCATGGTGTGAATCCAGGACCTTTCGAGTAGGGCATTGTATCTTATGTCACCCCCGATCACGTGGAATTTGGTATCTTAAATGGTTCCAGCCACATTCACTGGTAGAAAAACTCACCTTTAGTTGTTTTACTGGCCATGTTGAGGCCATTTAAGACCCAAGCTGCGGGCGTAATTTGATCTTGTAGGCTGAGTTGCTCCACGACCCTTGATAGGATGATATTCGTCGAACTACCTGGATCCCTAAAACACTCTTAACTTGAACTTTATTTAATAATATAAAAATTACCAGAGCGTCATTGTATGGTTGAGAAATTCCTTCTACTTCTTCGTCGTTGAATGATAAGGAGCCCTCGGGTACATAATCTCGGGTCCGCTTCTCCCTAGTAATAGATACCTTTGTGCGTTTGAATACAGGCCCTTGTGGAATATTGACCCCGCCGACGATCATATGAATGACATGTTGTGGTTTTTCCTGTTCATTTTTCCTGTTGGCGTCCCTGTCCCTGAAATGGTTCTTGGCTCGATCACTAAGGAACTCTTGAAGGTAGCCCTCGTTGAATAGACGGGCTACCTCCTCCCTTAATTGCCTACAATCTTTGGTCTTGTGACCATGCGTGCCATGATACTTGCACATCAAATTTGGATTTCTTTGGGAAGGATCTGTTTGTATGGGTCTGGGACACCTAGTATCTTTGATCCTTCTGATTGTCGAGACAATGCTTGATGCATCGACGCTAAAGTTATATTTCGATAGCTGAGGTGCCTCTACGGGATCGGCGTGCTTATCAAAACCACTTTTGCTTATAAGTTCCTAAGAATTTTGTCCTCGATCGTTTCTTCGATCATTTCGAGTAGGATTGCGCCCCGAGCCACTATTTCTTCGGTCTTCGATATATGGCTGATATCGATCTCTATTTGACCTTGTCTCCCTATCGATGTCCCTAGGGGCTTTAACTTCCAACCTGTTTGGATGTACTGATCCAGATGGGGCTCCTAATTGGTCGTCCTTGACCCTAATCATCGATTGATATCGATTGTGTACATCTGCCCAAGTTACAGCTGGATACTCGACCAAATTTTGCTTTAACTGTCGTGATACTATCTAACTTCGCTCATTCAACCACTGGGTGAAAGCTTGAACGGCCCAATCATCTGTGACCGGTGGTAATTCCATGCGCTCCATTTAAAATCGGGACACGAACTCCCTCAGCATTTCGTTATCCCTTTGTCTTATCTTTAAAATATCCGATTTTCTTGTTGCGACCTTTATGGCCTCGGCGTGTGCCTTCACAAAAGAATCTACTAACATGGCAATTGAATCGATGGAATTTGGTGGCAAGTTGTGATACCAAATCATTGCTCCCTTTGATAGAGTTTACCCAAATTTTTTCAACAAAACGGACTCGATCTCATCGTCCTCTAAGTCATTTCCCTTTATCCTACATGTGTACATAGTGATATGTCATTAGGATCGGTGGTCCCATTGTATTTCGGTATATCTGGAATACAGAACTTCTTTAGAATGGGCTTCGAAACCGCACTATGAGGAAAAGGCTTCTGCACGAACTTTTTTGAATCCAAACCCTTTAAGATCGGGGGTGCCCCTGGTATCTGATCAACTCTGGAGCTGTATGTTTCCACTTTTTTGTCATTATCTTCGATTTTCTTTTCTCCCGACTCGATTCTTTTGGTGAGCTCCTCGAGCATTTTCATAATTGTAGGATCGGTCCCTAGTCTGTTACCGTTCATTCTTTCTGGCACTGGCTTGGTACAGCGAGTGATTTCCCGCTCGACCACACTCGGAGTTCTATGTTAGCTCTAAAGTTGAGCAATAGAGGCCTATTGAGCTTGTAGTATCTCGAATATTACCTAGAGACTAACTCCTCCGTCTCTTACGCCTTATGTTTCTTGTCCACCAGATCGGCCTTCCCTGCGCACACTCCCTCCGGGGTCTGCACCTAACATTCAAAGCAATGTGCAAACTAACATCGAGTGGATCAGCAATCGGCAGTTCCCCAGGGTTAATCGGTGGTACACCAGCTCCTGGAGAAATTACATTATCATTTTCCCCATGAAATCCAAGACCATCATCGCCATGCACGGGTGCGTTTTGTGAGTTTGACATGTTTTAACCTGAGAACAAAAATTCTTGACAAGAACAAGTATGAAAATAACGTGTGTTATCAGAATCAGTACTGAAACAATCACTATTATTCTTAGCCCCACGGTGGATGCCAAACTATTTATCCTAAAATCTAAGTAACAATTAAACTTATATTGTGGTTTTGAAGAAACGTGATTTAGTCCAATACCAATTGATAAACAAGGAATTAAATATCTAAATTGAATAAATAAAGCAAGTCAAACTAGTGTGCAAACCAAGTCTTGACCTCGAGTTATGGTGGCATCAAGGTAGGTTAGCAAGAATAACAAAATTATAAGGCAACTCTGATGAATTGTAAGCAAGAAAGTAAAGAATGTATATTCCTTTGTCAATAAATCATGTGTTACAAATGAATGGGCTCCCCTTTATATAGTAGGGGGTCCTAAATAAGGTACATTTCTAATTATAGTAGGGAATCTTATTGGACAGCTGTACAACCGCCTAGTACAAATCCGTTCCGAAATTTACGTCGGGATCTTCTGGCTGTTGCGGGAATCTCGCTCTTTTTGTTATTAAACCATAACGATATTATCTTGAGGTTGGTCATAATCGGCCTTGGTTTTCATTGAGCACTTCGGTCTTCAATTTCTATACTCTGCCATCAGGCTCGAGCCATGTCCGTTTTGAGCTTTTTCTCGAAGCAACTCCCCGAGCCTACGAAATCTGGCATACCTGATTTCGACCGTATACAAAAAGAATTTTGTAAAGTGAAAAGTTTGATTTTTTTTTTAACAAATATAGAGAAGAAAGATTTGCAACTGCTATGACTCTACCAAGGAAATTGCACTTGAAATGAATATCGACCCCGAATTTCGTAAAAAATATGTGATATATAGGAAGTAACAATTTGATGCGAACGTTGATAATGAAATCTCAAAATCTTTCGAAGAGTCCTTTAGAGTTGATTACTTTTATACATAATAGACAAGACTATTTCACTTCAAAATGGATTTGAATAATTCAAAGCATATGAAAATATTTTTGGGTTTCTATTTGGCAGTAAAAACTAAGATCACTAGATGTTTGAAATTTGAAAAAAATATTACCTTAATATTGAATGTTCCTTAAAGCATAATACTCAATTCGATACTGATGGTTTGGTTTATTTTCTGAATTAAAAGTATTAAGAAAAATAGTACAATTAGAAGATAACTGTTTAATTGATACACTTAATCAAATAAAAAGATATAATTCTTTTCCAAATGCCTAAATTGCTTATGGAATAATGTTCATAACTCATGTTACTGTTGTTTCAGCGGAAAGAAGTTTTCAAAAATAAAATTATAAAATCTTACCTAAGAACAACAATGTCACAAGAAAGGTTAAATGGATTAGTTAGATTGTCAATTAAAAAATACTTATTAGGAGCTATTGATTATAAGAAAATTATTAATAACTTTGTATCTAAGAAAAGCTAAAAAATAGACTTCATATAAATAATTAAAAAAACTAAAAAGTTAAGGCCCCTCATAAAGTTTGGCTGTAGGCCACAAAATTCGTCTGGCCGCCGTGTCATGATCACATAAACCTCCACATACCAAATTCTTTCATGGTCCATGGTGCACTGGGTTTCGTTTACCTTTGTTCTGGACGTGATTGTTGCTTCTCTTTATACGGATTCTTTTTTGCCATATTTTCTTATTTAAACTGCTGTGATTATATTTTTCTTGATCCGAGGGGCTATCAAAAATAGCTTCTTTAACTTCACAAGATAGGGGTAAGGTCTGTGTACACACTACCCTCCCCAAATTCCACTTATGAGACATTTGTCCATGGTGTGCAGATGCTGGTCCACCAATGTATGCACCTGGGCGCCAATGTTCATGCTCCCGTGCACCATGCATATTTATTGGTACAATAGGAGGCTCGAGAAAACCGGAACATTGTAATTTCCTCTATCCATAGCTACTTTAGCTACGCCTTTAACTCATGGTTGTAGAATAAGATTACAAGAAAGTCCTCCGTTGGATAAAAATCTCCGAAACAAAACGGGGAAGGGCGTCTCTCATGCTCACCGAAAAAAAAGAAGTTCAACACTTGAGAGTGCAAAACAAGCTAAAAAGTATAATCAATTAGTAATGGGAATAACCAAACCCTTTCCTCTTTGGTGGATTTAAGGGGGTTTTATACGTACCCTCCCACATTTTGCAGGAGATCAAAAGGTAGACTTCTGGAGCATTTTCAGATATAGGATAATAAAAAAACGGTAAAAGCAGAAGAAACTGTAAATCACAAGGAGAAAATAGAATATAGCAGACCGGACTTAAATGCTGCCAAATTGAGTAACTCAATTCTGCGTGTATTACATTTCATCCTATATTAAATGCTAGCTTACCTTGAGTTAATCCATAAACCTTTTTCTATTAAATAGGTTTATGATCAAAAAAAGCCAACAGGCCATAATTTTATACAACCAGCTTTAAGGTAATGTCAGTTCCATGTAGAGATTTGCTAGAGATTACGTTTAACAGGTGCATGCAAGACTGATCCCAGTAACAGATCAGTTTCATTGAATTTGCCAAGGTTAGCCAACTAAAAAGCTCAACCTTCCATGTTCTCATGGTGATGTCTCCGACGCCTGCATTGAGACCGTCTGTGGCTATGATTATGCCTCCTAGGAAGCGCGCTAGGTGCATCAGGGCGACAACTCTCCTCGGCACTCACTTGATGTCCGAGTATGCAATCAAATGGGTCTTCAGTTGACTCTAGAGGAGGAGCAGCAGCACCACCATTTATCTACAATTTTCAATACAAAGCCTAGTAAAAGTAACTCAAAATGATTCTACTAGAATGAAGACTAAAATGATTTATTTTTGACAGACAACGGAAGCAACGATTTTTTATACTCATTTACAGAGAGCCCCCAATTTACTCAATAACTCTGCCAGAGAGGGCAGCCTGCATAAAGATAGGATAACCACCATTTGATACTTGTCATTAATTCTACAATCATGTGCATAAATTTGGTTTATCTTGTCCCCGTTCCTACTATGTCCTTGCACAAACAGGAAGACCTCCTGGCCCCAATATCCTTTGATCTTCTTCAATGTTATATAAAAGAGCAGCAAAGGAGTACTCACATTAACTTGCTTTCTATCAAGATTAGTGTTCCTCGGATCAGTATTCTCCAAATGGGTTTTCTTACTGGAGGAGTCATCACTATCCATCCTATGAGAAGAAAACAATTCCCCATAGGTACTCCGGNTATAAAAGGGCAGCAAAGGAGTACTCACATTAACTTGCTTTCTCTCAAGATTAGTGATCCTCGGATCAGTATTCTTCAAATGGGTTTTCTTACTGGAAGAGTCATCACCATCCATCCTGTGAGAAGAAAAAATTTCCCCATAGGTACTCCGAAAACGCCATCTTGGTTTTGGCTGGTCTGTTGAATCATCATCATAAACATTTTCAGAGTAAAAGTATTTGGAGACATGCTGTAATACAGGCGGATTACGCTGGTACTTCCTCAACATTCTATCATGAGAGAATACCACATCAGTAAATGTTAAAATGGATCACGCTGATATCTCAACTTCTATCTTGTTAGAATACTACATCACTAGTTCATACATGGGATGAAAAGAAACAGAAATTACCATGATACTATTCACATGTAGGAGCAAGATGACAAGATTCATAAAATTCCACAAGTATCAAAGATTTATTTCAAGAAAAGTTTATTAAAATCTTTCCACTTCTAGGGAATATGTCCTGAAAGTGAATCATTTTCTTTTGGCCAAATACACAGACAGTTGAAGTTGTAAAAAAATTTCATCTGAACACCTAAAATGAGCTCCTGGCCTATTGAGCACTCGAGCCCATTCAAAATGTACCCATTAGGCACCAGGTGGTGACATGGCACAAAGCGTGTCCTGCACCAAAAGTTGAGGGCATACAATAATGGTTTTTACCAAAAATTTTGTAGTTTGGCAGGAAAATGTTTTTCTGGACAATCTCTCTCTCTTTTTAATAACCCTTGTTTTCCAGATTCAAACCCATTTTCTCCGGTTATCTTCAGACCATTTTTCCTTCTTTATCCAGCCGTTCCAGCTTTAAACACATCCCAGATTCAAACCATTTTTCAAATTCAAACAGTTTTTTACTTGTTATACTCTTTGTAATATTTTATTATTTGAACAAATTTCTAACATAAACTAATCAAAAAGAATGCAAGATTATATAGCCATGTTCTGGATGGTGCTGTCTTTAAGCACTTCATGTTTGAAGCCTAGTCCTCTATTTATGCTTGGTCTACATGCTTAAATCTGGTTAAAGACTCAAATCTGTTCCCTTTTTATCAAGTACCTTTGTATTCTGATAGATACAGTCCTCGCTATTTTGGCTAAGTTATGTATTAGCTGGGTGAAATGACCTGTGTGTGTAGAGGGCGAGGCAAAAGAAATGATAACAGCTCCATATCTTAAGCAAGTAGAAGAGAGCAAGATGTCTTTTAATTGAAAGGATGTACCCTTTCATTATTCTGTAATCACTAAGTAATATATAACTACTAGTAGCCTTGTTTTTTTAATTAAACACTTCTTATTCCAACGTTACCTTTGGCTCACCAGAAATTTCCTCCATTTTCACCATTCTTCACATTTTCTTTCTTGTCAAAAAGATCTTGAGAGTTCTTGCTTATTTTATTTATTTTTCATATACTTTTCCAACAATCTAAAAGTGATATTGTTTTTTTTTATGAAATAATTGGTTTCATTGATGGCATCAAGAAGACGCAGAATAGTTACAAAAGTAATGAAAATTGCTAGCTCCAATACAGAAAGACAAAAAAATCAGCTTAGTACTACGGAGCTAACACCTTCTAAAAGCGATATTTTACTATGAAGAAGATATTTCCTGTTTTGGATAAAGAGAGTGATTGCATGACTTTTTGGAATAGCAAACAATGATCTTCTGGAAAATAACAAGCCTATTACCAATTGTCTGGAAACATTGTTGATTTGAAGTGAAACAACACTTTTAAATGGAGAGTGTTAGTAGTTAAATCCTGCAACTACTTAGAATAGATACCTCTCTTTCTAAATAGTCATGTCCGTTGGAATTTAACTTTTGAAATAACCCTAATAATGATAAAAGTATAAGGATTCTTCTTAATTTTCAAGTCCCTGCTAACAAGACAAGTGAGGCTTGCTCGGTTGGAAAAGCACCTCCACCCATGATTGTTAGGTCCTGGGTTCAAGTCACGCTGAAGGGAAAATGTGAAAACACTATAGATCCTCCTAATTTGGGAGGGGTTTGAAAAAAAGAAGAAAAAAAAGTCCCTGCTAACTCTAACAGCAGAGACAAAAGAGACTTTGAAGCACTAGAACTTCATTCGTATCTTGGGCAGTTTCTGCCTATGAATAGCCAGAAATTGGCTCTACAGGGGCGTTGGCTGATTTGCCAATATTAGTTGGGCTATGCATAGCTGAAATATGGCTCGGCAACACCATTTGCAGATTCTTCAATAGTCCTATGCCCCGATTGATTTTTTCTTGAAGTCTCCTTATCATTTTTCACTTTGAAATCACAAACTATACAACAATCCCCCACTAGTCTGCAATATTACTCCTAATATCATGCATAATAGGAAGTATCTAGTAGATTTCAACTTCCCACTAATGTAAATATTTTAAAATTTAGACAAAGTTATTGGTGTTACTAAGATTAGTACCATAACTCACTTGTGCCTAAACCGTAAATGATATTATCCAGCCACTTTAACACATTGGTTGGCTCAAGCACTAGAAGATATTCACTGTAATGGAGAATTAAGAAGTTTAGCAATTTGGGTGATCCATTTAGTAAACTTCTTAATTCTCCAAATAAGTGACTATTTTCATAATAAATATCGCTTTTAGATTGTTGGAGAAATATATAAAGAATACAAATAAAATAAAGCCTTGAAAAACGTCCGAAATGCTTTCCTAAAAGAGATATTTGCTCCCTCTCCTTCTCGAGGTTGCTACGGGTTATATGCAAATAGCTATAGTGGATATGACAAGCTTTTAAATTTCTATACTAAGCAAATAGCTGAAAAATACTAATAAGAAAACAAGAACTCTCAACTTGATCTTTTGGACAAGAAAGAAAACGTGAGGATGGTGAAAATTGAAGAAGTTTTTGGTAAGCCAAAAGTAAAGCTAGAATAAAGAAGTTTCAATTAAAAAACAAGACCATTTGCAGTGATATATTACTTCGTGGTTACAAAATAATGGATAGTAACATCCTTTTAATTTAAAGACACCTTATATTCTTTTAAAATATTTTATTATTTGAACAATGTTCTAACAGTCTATTGAACAATAGAACAACAACAACAACGATCCAGTAAAATATTTTATTATTTGAACAATGTTCTAACAGTCTATTGAACAATAGAACAACAACAACAACGATCCAGTAAAATATTTTATTATTTGAACAATGTTCTAACAGTCTATTGAACAATGTTCTTTTAAAATATTTTATTATTTGAACAATGTTCTAACAGTCTATTGAACAATGTTCTTTTAAAATATTTTCCATGCACACTATTTATGTATTTCCACGCGATGAGTGTGCACATATTTCTATACTTGGTGGAAATAGATGATATATATGTGTGTGTGTGTACCTACATACATATATATTTCAAGTTAAGAAACTCTGGTCGTACTCTATATTATGGCATATTTTAAAGTTTGACGCTCGCAGTGAGGACAACTTACACATTTCTCAATCATTCTTATCCTGAACTGAAGCCAAAGAAAGTAGCAAAAGAAGAAGAAAATTGAGAGAATACAAGCGTAGCATAACTAACCAGTAAATGTGTCCCTACCGCAAGTTGAATCCAGACAAATAACTCAGAGAGATAAAGATGTACCTATGCCCCAAGTTATCGAGTACTAAGGCTACTCAAGGATATAGATCTTGAGTATACAATTATTTATCAGATGGGAACAGCATGACATATTCTGTCTTTGTCAAAGGTTTAGCATCTTTCTCATTCAAATATCCAGAACTATAAAGTAATTTGAAATTCTTGATGTTGCTCCCTTGGGTTATAGAGGTAGCTGTCACCAAGGATATTATTTACATTGATAATTAGTTCCGAAATTTTGACATGGTACCTCACTCTAACACTAATGGTGACAAGTATGACTGTTAGTACAATCAGGCCAACTGATCAAGCTTAAAAGATGAAAACTTGACCTCCACAAACTGATTAATAACTAATAATAAACCATATAGTGTTGATTATTGATCCAACACTTTACATGATTAGATATATTCTATTTTCCTCCTCATAGTATATCATTCTTCATATTTTACAGGGTTGGTAAACTTCAACTTTTCAAGTAACCCATATTAATATGCACATCTTTTTAATTCAAATTATTTCAGGGAACCTCGATGCAAAGATGTTGTAATGCACATCTTACGAGATCCAATTAATTCAGCTATCTTATATTCAAATAATTTTTCGGAACCCCCATAACCTGCTTTCTTTGCTAAACAACTTTCACGTTAACACCTGTGAACAATTAAATTCAGGCAAGTAATAATCTTGCAAATCTTACACCACCACCCCCCCCAAACAACCCAATATTACGTATCCTACTTAGACTTGTAAAAGCTATTGAGGTAGCAGTTGGACTCTTTGAATAATTTGAACTTTTTCTTTTCTACAGGCATGGGCCTTTTGTTATTATCTGAGAATAAGATATTGAAAAGTATTTAAGATGCCACTCGGAGCACATTGCTTAAATTTGAGTTAAAAGTTCCTGTTCTCTTTTTATGAATGAAAGGGACCACCTTTTTCAGAAAACCCGAAAAGAAAGTTGAAACTTCAACTTAAAATAGAGCAAGTGCGACTGTTTTTTGATAACCAGAGTTTGTGCGATTATTCAAGTGCTCAAGGTTAAGTTTCACCGTGCTAAGTCATGCATATATTTTGACTGTGCTGCACTTCATCTTTAGGGGTACATGTCACCTCATTATTTAGCCCAAAAATAAAAAAGTTTAAGAAGTGTTTTTTAGGACCTACATTTCCCCTAACTCCTTTTGCAGACGAGTTCCATGCTGAGAGAGAATAAGTTCAACACCTGAATCCAAAGACTTGGCAAATCTCCACTTGCCATAGAACCAACCAGCACCTGGAGATAGAAAGTTTGAAAATATAAGCAATACACTTCGGAAAAGCAACCCAACATGAATCTCTGTTTTGGAGTAGAAATCATTAGCTCTCAGAGAAACTTGAGCCCTAAATGAGCAATTTGAAATAAGTGTCCTACATACTAAGATTGGTAGTAGAGTGAGATTTTACAAGTCTCCAAAGTTGCAAGAGCCCTTTGCAACTAAACATGAAATAAGCATGTCAGTTTATTTTTCTTGATTCATGTAAAGGCTGTTAGGGTACTTCTTGACACGTAAAAATACAGAATATTTCAATCATCAATCCAAAATCTTGACAACTTTTAAAAAAATGAATCTGGCTAGTCAACCATTGGCACTGCCTTTAAAATCTACTGCATTGATGAATTAATATTTGTAATAAAACTGCACGATCATGTGAGAAGAGAAGAGATTTCTACCAAGAAGTAACAACAAATGAATACTTAACTAATAAAAATAAGAAGGATCACAACTAAGCGACTTGGAGTTGAATTCTTCTTTTAGCTTTTAATTCTTGCATTACTTATGACTTTATTTTTAAGAAAAGCTAAATATGTAGTTGAATTGAGCACTTGACAGGCATCAACTGCTTACTCAGCATTTCGGAATTTACAAAAACAGACACCAGACAGATAGATAGTTGTTGGTGCGCAATATGTAAGAGTAAAAGAGAAGAACACGAGAAAGACAACTCCCTGTCCACTAGAATAAGGTTGAGGATGAGGGTGAGTTTTGATTTACCTACTGCAAGATTGATGCGGAGTAGGTTATGCAGCCTTCGAGTAACTACAGCAAAAACAAATTGAAATAATGGTGTTAGGTGCTTTAATGAACAATAAATATAGGGAGGGAACATAATCACAGAGCTAAAGCAATACAGCAGAGAAGTGAAAAGAAAAAAAGAAGAAAAGAAATTGCTTCTCTGAGCGGCATATATCCCTAAACTTTGTGAAATTAGTCATCCATGTCTTCCATTAAAGGTTTCTTAAAAAAGAACTTCATTGTTACTCAAACATATCATACATGCCCTTCATTTCTAATGGAATTCCAGCAGCATACCATCTATGCTGAAAATTTTGAAGGTCCACCTAAGTGAGACATGCGGGAACAAAATCCAAATTTGCCCCCACATTTTGCGAAATTAGCCATCCATGCCCCCATTTTTATAATTAGGCAGGTGACATGGTGTAAATTTGGACAATGTTGGAAAATCCCCATACTTTTAAATAAACTATTATCAAATGAAGCCATTGTTGGGAATTGCGGAATACCCACAGAAATATTCACAATCAAATAATGGGAATGAAACCGAGAAATTAGGGCACTGAAAATAAAAACGTAGAAGACCTTATAAACAAAGGGAAAAATCACGGCCCCGGAAGAGCAAAAACAATATCACTATAGCGAGACAAATACATTTTGCACTCAGGTATCACAAAGTCCTCGAGACTATACACCCAATGATAATCCTTTCAATTTATAATGCACTCCTTAAGGAGCACAGGACTAGAGTGGGAGATTTGTGGGGGCCAGTCCCATTACAATTGAAAGAAAGGAAAAAGTTTATTATTTGGCAAAATTTTCAAAGGTTTGCAGTAACCATAGATTTGGCCAAATGGTCAATAGATCTATTCACATCGCAACCTTTGAAATTCTATTGTTTGCTATGTCACTGATGACATCGGCAGGTTATTTTACTCGTAGAAATATAATGTTTCCCTTCATTCATAAGAATCAGATTGTTTCTGGAGAAGGTTATAACAGCTTTTGACAAAGTATAGCATATCACTACTTGCTGTCCATACCAATCGATCCTCTTTGTTTTCCTATATCACTGTTGTACTCAACAATTGGAGCATTCGTCCCACTTCTTCCATCTCCCAGTTATTAAAACCTCTTCTGGAGTTTAATTGCCAGCCATTTGCGGAGTAAAATTCGGCAGCATGTCCATATTTGCTAATAGAGAAATTATATAAGCTTGGAAATCTGTTACTTAACATCACTTCCCCTCCCATACCTCAGTCCAGTCCAGAATCTGATTTTACATCCATTTCCCAGCTTCAGTCTTCTGTGTTGTTTAAATTCATTCCACAGCTTACTAATATTGCTCCAGATACTGCCTTTTGTAGAACTATGAACAGTTGCAGGCCTCCATGTATCATTCTTCGCTCCTCTTGCGTCGGTTTCCACATTTTCATTCCCGATTCTTTATTTCTCTATTTTACTCTCATTATTTGACTGTGAATATTTATGTGAGCATTTTGTGGGTCCAAACAGTCCTTGAGGCTATACACTCACGAAATATCCTCACTACAAAGCCACTCAAAACTCTAAATATTTTTCTTCAGAATGTGCTTTTTATGAATTGGCGTATTACAAACGGAGTCTACTATTTATAGGAGTAAAATACTCTGTCGATATCATCAGTGATAAGCAAAAGATAGAATATCAAAAATTGCAATATAAACCGATCTATTGTTCGGTTGGCCAAATATATGGTTGCTGCAAGCAAACCTTTGAAATTCTTACCAAATGATAAACTTCTTTCTTTCAATATGTAATGGGTTGGACCCCACACCCATTTCCTCCAAGCAACCAGGATTGATGCCATCCTCCACCTATATGTCGCCACTACAACTACTCCCGCAACCTCTCTCAAGCCACCCTTCAATCCCAACCATCGTCTTTTCTCTTCCTCGATTTTCCGACAACAAGACCTCATCTTCAGGGAAAACATGAAAAAGTTCATCTTCTAAGGTCTAACGTTTGAACATAACCCATATGAAGGCTCTACAATATCATTACGATTACAGTGACAAAGTTTAACCTTTTTCTTGTTTTGGGTCTTTTTGGACTATTCACCATTGATGGGAGAAAGTGCATCTTGACAGGTCGTATCATATCCATTGTTGAAACAATTTCTTGTAAAATTGACTTGAAAATACACATAGAAATGATATGGTATCTGAAATTGCCAAGCAAACCTTTCTATGACTACTGCAAGTTGGAGAATTTTTTCCAATAGAGCTGATAATATCTGCCATTTTCAGGACTTATTTCTCATAAATCTAGGGGGATGGGGAGAGGTGGATATCCAACTTGCACGGTCCATTTGCAAAACTTTAGAATTTTAAAAAGTTCACCATTGCTTAGGGTGGTGGAAGCTCTTCTTGGTGACTAGCTATGGTGGTGGTGGTTAGGGAGCATTGATGAGTATTTTTCGGAAAAAGTTCAGGGGTAAATTTGGGACTTCGTTCCTTTTCTTTCTCCACTTGTCTCATTCAGATGGCAATTTAAAAAGGTCAGCATAATAAAATATGAGTTTTGCTAGAAATGAAGGACATATATGATACATTTGGGCAAACGAGATGTCCCTTTGAAGCAAACTTTTAACAGATTGCATATATGACTAATTTTGCAAAGTTCAGGAGTAAATTTGAACATTTTCCATATTTATTACAAATTGAACCACTAGAGTTTAGCCTAGAAATCAACACAATCAGAACGAGCAGTGGGTGCACACTATATCCCCGTTTAGCTAACTTTATAAGGCTAAAATTGACACCAGTGTTGGAGAATCATATCTGGATCTATTTTCTCTCTCTACTGTCAAGCTCCCAGGCACACTCCCCGAGGAGCCCGGGAACAAGGAATCTTAGGTTTCCATGAACACCATTAGAAAGCCCCCAAAATTCCGACCACTCCACTGAAATTTTTCCGATGAAGAAGCTGCCACGCGCGGCACCTACCGGCGACCTAGTCGCCACGCGCCGGGCGCGTGAGCCCTTTTCCGGCAGGTTTTCAAAAAATTTCTTTTGGACAGCTTCCTCTACTGATAATTCCGACCAGATCTGTACAATCTTTTCAGATTTCCGACGACTTTTATTTTTTCCGGGGAGCGGGGAACCTCTGTTTAGTCCAGATTTCAGTATCTTTTACATCAACAGCTCAACTGTGATTACCATCAAACACTCCTTATAATTTCCATAACCTGAGCAGCTGGGTGGTACAATATGGGAGACAACCGGATTTATTTCAACGCAGGATTCAAATCTTTTGACATCACCAGATGGAATTCCAACAAAGATGTATGGTTCGAATGGGTGGAGAGAAGCCGCAGCATGATGAGACGTTCATCCATGGGCAGAAAGGCAATGGAATGGATTTGTTTTGTACTTAAAGAAGCATCGACAGATCAAATGAATTTAGTGAAGCGATGGAAGTACAAGGAACATATGACAGAACATTTCTGTACCAGGAAATTCAACGTTCATGGAAGATATATGAGCATTCTGTCACTGAAGGGAGAAGAGAGGTCTGTTATTATAATTTCAGAGTTAGCTATGAATGCAGGTTGGAAAGACATAGCAGCTAAGATAGAAAGATTCACACATCAAACCCCCAAAATGAATCCCACAGTTCCACCTAGAATCGTTGTGGACAACTATCCTTATGTCAAAGCAATCAAGGAGAGTAAATGGCAATCCAATACCCTTCGTGAGGCAAAGATCAGCATAAACAATGGAGATATCTCTGTTGTGGAACCGACAGGTAGCGAGGATTCTGGTTTACTAAAAAGATGCATTGTCGGGTTTTTTGGGAAAGAAATCAATGAGAGACCCACTTTAGCAGACATAAGGCGATGGGCCAGTACTTCATGGAACAAAGCATATGGAGTAAACATGTATGAAATGACAGGCAACATGTTTTTATTTGAATTTCCAAACAGATTCATGGCGGAGCAGATTTTGCAAGGAGACTGGAGATGGAAAA